CTAAATCACCTCGTATGTAAATCACCAAAGCAAAACAAGGGAACCAGCAATTCTAAGTCAGGAATTTACAGAAAATCTATTGAGAGATTAATTTGTGGACAAGACCACTTGGCATGGGATGACAAAAAACCAAGAGAAAAGAGGTCAAAGCAGTTTGTTCTAAGACCATCATCAACATAGTATAAATGAAGAAGTATAACTACTTTCTGCAACAATTGGTGACCTGTATGGATAAATGAGTTATGCATGTGCCTGAAAGAGAAGTGCAGAAATGGTGCTTGAGTGGCTGAATTTCATGTAATGGATATCAGGAAATGAAGGTGGGGCCAGAGAAGGAGACCATCTTGAGTCATGAAAACAATAACTACTATCTCATCATCAGCTGGGTCTATCCCGCCTAGACTGATAGGATCCTATAGGAAAAATGATGGTAAAGATTAAGAATGGGGAATATGCTATTATATTGGGCAGTGGATTAAAAGTGGCCATTATATTTCAATTATTCTAGCAGATGTTTGAAAAAATTACCTACCTTTTCAGCCTATGACAGGATTAGGATTTGGTGAAAGGAATGATAACTATCAAGTATATCTGGGATAGCTGAGAATAAGCTTAAAGTTTCCTCAGGAAGCTGCTGAAGTCCACATCAAGGTGAACACCATGGCTCTGGCATGTTCAAATCCATGAAGTCCAAGTGTCAACATTGATGGAAACTAATTCTCATTTACTTAAAGTATTAGCAATATATTGCAAGCAATGATGCGGTACTCAATATGTATATGCTGGAGTTAAAATCCAGGACCTCTGACTGCAAATGTAGTATTATCTCCTTCATACCATACTGGTATCAAAAGCTTGGTGTAGAAGATAAATCCTGCTCTTTTTATTCTATCAAAATAACCACCTCCAACCCTCTTCCAACTTTTTCTCACTCTCTATCTCTCAGGCTGCCTTCATCAGTAAGCACAAACTTAACTAAAGAGTTACAACTAGTCAGGCCCAGACCATATTTCACATTGCACCTAGTCATCTACTATCTTGCCATTCTCCCCGCCATCAATGTCCCCTCTTTCCACATTTTTCTATAGGTTCAGTAATACTACCATTGTTCCATGGTTCTAGTCAAAAGTATGTTAATTAACATCTCTATGGATTAAATTACCATGATTGTGACTGCAGTTGTACCCTTGCCTGGCCACCATTCATATACATATACTTGCACACACATATATACATATGTATATATTCATTATGTGTGTGTGTGTGTGTGTGTGTGTACACATACACAAACATCTATACATATATAGCCATAAATATAACTATAAACATATTAGTTCAGTCTTGTACCTGGAAAGACAACCTGCAGATTGTAGCTAAGGTTTGAAGGAAGTCAGAAAAACCAAGAGGCAGAGAGAGGACAGGGCATTCTAAGCAAAGAGGGCAGCCAGTGCAAAGCTGAAGTGGTAGGAAATGGAGTATCAAGTTTTAGGAATTGCAAGTAGGTGAGTGGACTTGGGTCATAGATTACAAGGAGAGGAGTAAAGTATAAGACGGGAAAGGAAGGAAGAGGGTAAGTTATGAAAAGCTTTAGATATCAAACAAAAAAAGTATTTATTCTCTCCTGGAAGTAACAGGGCACCACTGGAGTTCATTAAATGAGTTGGGGGTGGGGTGGGGAGAAGAGGACATTATCAAGTACAAGCTTTAGAAAAATCACCTAGGTAACTAAGTGGAAGATGGGTTAGAGTGGTAAGAGACTTGAGGCAGGGAGACCAGTTACAAGACTTTGTTTTACTATTGATTTCATTGTTAATAAACCATATACTCAAAATGTTAATATTTATTTAATCCTATCATACACACACACACACACACACACACACACACATAGAGACAAAGACAGACAGACTACTATTGGCAAAGGAGGTTTCTCCAGTGTATGTAACTTATTTTGAGTTGAAATACACTTCCCCATAGATTCTAGAAACTGGTTCTAATTTTTTAGAAAAAGTAGAATATCTTTTCTGCACAATTTTTCATATGCTTAAAGATAGATATCTTATCTCCACAACATCTTACACTATCAGGTTAAATATCACATGTTCCCTTATCAAGTATCTGGTTTAGATATTTCCCCAATTTTTAGTTCCCCTAATATTAGATCTTTAGATATTTCCCACTACTTCATATAGATACAATCCAGTTTCTCAATGTCCTTTCTAAATATGTCACCCAGAATTGAACATAATCCTCCAAATGTGTTCTGACCAGGGCAGAGTACACTTCTCTCATTTTTGATGCTATATTTCTATACACACTGCCCAAGATCACATTAACTTTTTCTCTGCTGACTCATATTAAACCTGAAGTCCACTAGAACTTGCAGTTGAGTGTGTGTGTTTCCCATAAGAGCCAATGTCTAGCCACGCTTCCCCAATCCTGTATTCATAGAGGTGATTCTCTGAACCCAAGTGTAGGACTAGTCACTTACGCTCATTAAATTTCATCTTATGAGGTTTGGCTCATCTCTCCAGCCTGTCAAGACCTCTTTGGATCTTGATTTTCTCATCCAGTGTGTAAATTATACCTCCCAGCTGTGATATCTACAAATTAATGAGTGCATCATTTATGCCTCCATCCAGGTCATCTATACAAATGCTAAACTGAACAGAGCTAGTACCAAGGTCAGGGGAAAGCCCACAAGAGCCCTTTCCTGGTTCATGTGAATTTATTATTCATCATTCTTTGGACTTTTTAAATGAACAATAACTACTCGCTCTTGAAGGGCTTTCTATCTAAACAATCTAATGGAAAGGGACTGAAATCAAAAAGTCAAGGAGGAGGGGAACGATGGATATGGAATACTATATATGTCGGTCTTCTTCAATATAAGTCAGTGAACTGGAATTTTTCCCCCTATCTCTTTTCTTTATTGTAAAGTATGGTTCTTTGGAAGTGGAAGGGGAAGTGACATGTTGGGAAATCAAGGTTATATAAAAGCAAAAGATATCATCAACATTTATTTCATAAAAACTAAGGATTAGAGGAGTTATGGATAATATCGAATATCTCCCTCATTTTACAGATAAAGAAAATGATTCAAAAGGTGAAGGGACCTACATGATTGTCACCCTACTCTTTGTCCTGGTCCTTTTTCTATTCTCTCTATACGTTTTCCTTTAGTTAGTTCATCTGTACCCATAGGTTCATTTACCCAAAAACTAAAGCATTCTTCTCCCAAAACCCAAACCTTTTCCCAATTTTCTCTGTTTCTATTAAGGGTACTACCAAACTCTATAGTTACTTAGGCTTGAAAACTTCTTTTCAAATTATTTTTAACTCTTTCCTCTCCTTTCACTCCCATATCCAATTAATTACCAAGTCTTATCAAGTTTACTTCAATGACACCTCTCATTTTTGTGGCCTTTTCTCCACTTACACTGCCACCACTCAATTCCTTATATTTCCCACCTTGACTATTTTAATAGTAAAATGAGGAAGGTATTCTCTATGATACCTATGATTCCTATAATCCTTGGTTTCTAAGCAATGTTAATGATTTTTTTTGCTTTTGTACAATCTATATTTCCCAATGTATCATTTCCCCTTCTATTCCAATTCCAGACTCCTTATGGCCTTCCTGCCTCCAGTCTTTTTCACCTCCAATTTATTCTTCACACAGCCACTGAGATAAACTTTTGATTGTATAACTTGTCAACTCTCTTATTCTTTTCTAACCTCATCATTCTGTAAGATCTCATTAGCCTGGGATCTCCGCCATAATGGTATCTTGGTGTCATAAGAATTTTCCCAATCTGTTTTATCAAGTCCTTGGAGCAGTTATTCATAGAACTTAGAGAGAGAAGGGAGATCATGTAGTCAAACCTATTCATTTACAGAGGCCCAAAGAGATAGAATGAATTGCTTTATGGTCACATCATTATTAAGTGGCAGAGCTGGGATTCAAGCCTCTTAGCATCCACAGCTTCCTTAAAAGTACACTTAGATGTCATGTCCTACATAAGGTCAATCTTGATTCCTTGAGTTGTTACTGCTTTCTTATATTACAAAACTTTGTATATCTGTTGTACATATTGTATCCATCCCCTCCCCACCCCATCCCCCATTGCTGACACACGTGCTTTGTCCCAGTAAAATATAAGAGTTTCATTTTTTGCATTTGGGGGATTTTCTAACCTCAGCACCTAGCATGATGTTTTGCACAAAGCAGGTGCTTAACGCAGGTTAAATTGAATTGAACTGAGCCCAAGTCCTTGACTGAAAATCCAAAACTCATTCCATTAATGATTCATGGACTCGAATGTTGAGTTCCGTTTTAAAGGCAGAATGAGAGCTGGGTGATTCTCTATTAGAATTTCAAGAAATATCTCCCCAACACTGAAGTTAGATGGGGCAGATGGAGACTGAAAAAAACAGATGTTGAACACAGAAATGGTGCTTTTTTACTACTGAAGGCAAAACAAGTTGGCAGGAACTTAGTATCAAAAGCAGGAAATATCAGAAAACACTTGCTGCCCATTTGGCTCCCAAAGCATGAGGCAGCTGTCCCTGTGACCCAGGCTACTTTCTGGGATCAGTTAAAAGTCTTTCTTTTTCAGCACCTGAAAGGATGACTTCATTGAAGGCTGCTTCTACATCAGAAGCTTTTGAGATTATTTATAGACTTGAGAATGTTAGCTTAGCTAATCTATAGGTTCCTTCAAGGAGTCTGAAGGATAAATCTGCCACCACCCTAGTTCAAGACCTCATTACCTTTTCCTAGAATTACTGCAAAAGTCTACTAACTGGTTGGTCTCCCTGCTTCCAGGATCCCTTTTCTCCATTCTAACCTTGAATGGTTAGCAGGGAGACCACACTTCTTAAAACGCTTCTGTCCATGATGTTTCTCTACTTCTAGATTTCTACTTCAATTACTATTCATCTTTTGAGGCTCAAATCAGACGCCACCTCTTCCAAGAAAAAAATGAGAGTAAATGTACCAAATGACTCACAAAGCACCTCCATGTGGAGGATGCTACAGGGCAGATGGTGTCTCTCTCCTTGTGAAGGATGCTAGGAAGCCATTTCTGGAAGAATCCTATAAAGAAAGTGCACAGGAGAGATGTAAGCATGCATGTGTGGACATTTGTTAACTAGTTTTCATTAAAAACCTTCTGATTTAAACTCTCTGATTGGCTTTGGAGACCACCCCCCCCCAAAAAAGGTTTTCAGCTTTGACTCCTTCCTTTTGGTGCTTCTCCTCTCATTATCTCATTATCTTCAATTATACCATGGTGGTGTGATAGTCTCTAGTGAAAGACTATGTTATGAGGCCAAAGGCTGTGTTGCCTTCTCCTTTGGGGTAATATGGCCCTTGAGAAAGGGGGACTTTTTGATATTTTCCATTTGTTCTATTCCATTGCAGGTGGAAGGAGGGGAGTTGGGAGTCCATATCTCCCCTCAGGACTTCCACTGGGTGGAGTCATTCCTCTCTTCAAAATTCCAGGACACCCTTAGGAGTTCAGAGGGGCCTTTCTTTACTCTCATTGACTTAAACTTCCTACTGGCTGCGTTCTCTCCCCACACCTATTTTTTGTAGATTATTCTTCACAGTAACTTTCACACCTGTTCAATCTTCTGTTTGTTTGTTTGTTTGTTTGTTTGTTTTCACAGCAACCAGCCTAGTTCAGATCTGTATTATCTCATGCTTCCCATGCTGTGACACTCTGGTGTGTCTGCTTCTAGGTTCTCTCTTCCCTAAATCATCTTCCTCATGCTATGGCCTCAGTATTCTTCCTTACACATTTCTCTAGGAATACTTGGTTACTTTGCTTACCATCCTTCAGTTTCTTCCCACTAGAACACAGGTTTAAGATTCCCTACTAAATAAAGTATAAACTCCCTGTTTTTTAAGCCTTCCTACAATCAGACTACAAGCCATATTTCTAGCTCTTCTCATGTTACTACTCCTTTTCCTTTACTCTTAGATCCCACAGCTTCCCTCAAAGCACAGCTCAAATGCCACCTTTTGCACTGAGGATTTATTTCCCCCATGGATTCCCTCATAGCTACCTCCTGAAATTACTTTGCATTGTTTTATACACACTGTGTATTTATCAGTGTACATGTTGTATCTCCCCAGGAGAATGTAAACACTTTGAAAGCAAGATATTTTTTCTTGTCTCTGTAACCTAAAGATGGAGCATAGTACTTTCTTCTTATTAAATATTTAGCGAACGCCTGTTTAATTGAACTGCATTTTCACCTTTACTGCTCACACCAGCCCACAGGCCTAGAATAGATGCCACCTCCACTTCTGCGTCTGTTTATGAAAATCCTTCCCTCTCTTCCTTTAAGGTTCAATTCACATTCCACCTCCCTCTCTAAACCTCTGATAATTCTTACAAGTGACTCTCCCTTCTCTAACTGTTGACAGTCCTCAGCTTGTACTTCTCCATTTCAATACCCCTCCCCATTTTGCTTCTATTATAATTATTTGAACGTATGTCTGGTCCCTTCTTTTAGACATAATCTCCTCGAAGGTAAGATCTGTGTCTTACTTAGCTCTAGATTGTGGGGCCCCCAGCACAAAGCCTTGCCTGAGACAGAGGCTTAAGATATGCTTGTTGAGCAAAATAGAGCACATTGTACACTTCTTAACTTTTACAGTTTGTGTTATATCACATCATGTATATAAGGTAATTAAGAAGCTTTATTTCTGTTCTGTAAAAACAGTTTGGTGTAGCTGTCATGGCACTGGTCTTGAAGATTCCTGCTCCTGATGTTTGCTAGCCATGCAAGGACCCGTAAAATCGTGATTTCCCTGAGCTTCAGGGAACTCATCTGTAAAATGGAGGTAATAATACCTCTGATACCTACCTCACAGAATTGTTTTAGGGCTCAAATGAGATGTCTGTAAAATGTTTTGTAAACCTTAAAGCTCAATATAAAAGTCAGCTTTCATTATTCTCCACTCCCACATCCATGCAGTTCACAGAGTCACAGGAGGAAGGGACCTCAGCAGCCGTATAATCCAACTGATACATAAAAGAAATCCTTATCATCACCTATCTGAGAAGTGGGTACCTAGAATCAGCTTAAGGGCCTCCTAGGGAGGGAAGCCCACTGTCTTTCAACTTTCAGATAGCTCTAATTTTTTAGAAAGTTTTTCTCCCTAATATCAAATCTATACCAGCCTTTGTGAAACTTATTGGTTTTACCCTCTTCAGCTAAACAGAAAAAGTCTAATTTCTCCTCCCCATAACAGCTTTTTAGATACTTGAAGACAGCTATCATGTCCCTCCTCCCCTCCCCATCCCCAAATCTTTTTTTCTCCAGGTGATACATAACTAATTCCTTCAACCAACCAACGTTCATATTATATGAACTCAAGGTCCTTCACCATCCTGATTGCTGTCTTCTGAACACTAGCTTACCAATATCCTTCTTAAATCATGATATCCAGATCTGAACACAATACTCCAGATGAGGTCTGATGATGGGCTATCTGCCTTTCCTATTTCAGGAAGCTATGTCATTCAATGTGAGCCAAGGTCATAATAGCTTTTTTGGCTTCCACATTAAACTACTAACTCTTATTGAGCTTACAGTCTACTAAAAGATACAGATCCTTTTCAGAACAACTTTCAGAACTGTCTAACCATGTCTCTCCTGAGGAAGTGGTAAGTGAACTTACTTCAAGAATTCAAGGCAACCCCACTCCAGTCAAACAACACAGGGGAATCTCCTACAGGAGATTTAATGCACCTTGTATGGTCTCTAAATGCTCAACACTGCCCCATTCTGCGTATCATACTGACAGTACAATGGCATCTACTATATGTCAGGCACTGTGCTAAGTTCTGGTAGTATAAAAACAAGCAAAGACGAAGACATTCCCTGCCCTCAAGGATATTTCAATGGAAGATGACAACATATAAAATGAAATTGAAATGGGAAGGCAGGGAGTAGAAATTCCAAAGAGTCAGGAGTGGAGAACATAGAGGAATGGAGTAAATATGGCCAGGTGAGGTATTTTCCTTAAAAAGGAGATTCTGGGGGGGACAGTCCAGTCAGGGAAAGGGGCAATGGGGCAGAGTGAACAACCAGGATGAGAAGGCCACAGGAAAAAAAAAAGAACTTTCAAGATTAGAAGGCTGCTGTGCATATGTTATGACGAGGTGGAAAAGTCAGGAGAGAAGGCTAGAGATGGATGAAAGAATGAGTATGTCTGGCCTGGTCAGTTTCCTTTAAAAGGAAGTTATAGAGGCAGGTGTTTTTTTTGGTGAGGAAATCAAAACAATTTATGGTTATATGAAAAAAATGCCCTAAATCATTATTGATTAGGGAAATACAAATTAAAATGACCATGAGATATCATTTTATACCTATCAGATTGGCTGCTCTGAGTGAAGAGGAAGTGACAAATGTTGGAGGGAACATGGAAAAATTGGGACACATTCATTGTTGGTGGAATTGTGAACTGATCCAACCATTTTGGAGAACAATCTCAAAGAGTTATTAAACTACTTATTGTATGCCCTTTGACCCAGCAATACCACTACAAGATCTATTTTCAAAGATGATGAGGGGAAAAGGAAAAGAACCTCTATGTTCCAAAATATTTTACAGCAACTCTATTTGTAGTGGCAAGGAACTGGAAATTGCAGGGATGCCCATCAACTGAGGAATGGCTGAACAAGTTGTGGTAGATGATTGTGATAGAATACTACTGTGCTATAAGAAATGATGAGCTCAACGATTAAAAAAAAAGAAACAAACCATGGATAGACTTGCATGAAATAATGAGCAGTAAAACAAGCAGAACCAAGAGAATGTTGTATGCAGCAACAGCAATACTGCTTTAAGAACAGCTTTCCATAACTAAGTCATTTTAACTATTATAAATACTCAAACCAACTACAAAGGACCTATGAAGGAAGATGCTATCTGCATCCAGAGAAAGAAATGATAAACTAAAATATGTATAAAATGATTTTTACATACTTTTTTTATTTTTACATACATATATACATATTTGTGTCTAATGATAGCCATCTCTAGGGCAGAGGGTGGGTGGAAGGAGGGAAGAAAAAAGAGGGAAAAAAAGTTACATGATAACTTCATTATATATTTAAAAAGAATAACAAGTTGTACATAACCGATTTGCAGTTTCATGGGCAATTGCCTTTTTTCCCCTATTCCACTATGTTATAGAAATGCTTATTTTATTTCTAAGTTCAGAATAAAATAAATTTTAAAAAAAGAAGTTTCTAGGAGGAATTGATCAAAGGAAGGGGATGAAGGGGTGAGGTGAATTATCACAATTACTCTGCCAGATGATTCCACTAGACTAGCTGTTTCTTGTACCTGACACTCTATTTTCTACCACTGTGTTTTTGCACAAAGGATCCCCCATGCCTGCAATGTACTCCCTCTTCTCCTCCACCTAGTAGATTTGACAGTTTCTTTTGGAAACACAGCTCAAGTGCTGTCACTTCCACAATACCTTTCCTGATGTCTCCAGTAGCTAGTACCTTCTTCCTCTAGAAATTACTTCTTCTTACTTTGCATTTATTTGTGTGAGGACATTAGTAAATATGATAGAAGAAGGTAAGCTTCCCAAGTTTAGGAAGTGTTTGAATGTTTTTTGGTCTTTGTTTTCCCAGCATCCATCAGAATACTTGTATACAGTAGACATTTAATAAATGTTTGGTGAATTGAATTACTGGATAAACAACTTGTAGAGTATGCCCAGTTGAAGGTGGGCCAATAGAATAAGAGAAAAAAATTATTTTCCAGTCATGCTTCCTTCCCTAAGTGATTTCCCAGAAAACAAAGAAAATACTACCAGTGAGCCTCCCTTTGATCAAAACTCTGCCCTCTACTTTACTGGAAGTGACCAATTTCATTACTAGCTTTGAAGTGTGTGGAGAGATGTGTATTTCTATGAGTCTGGTTCATGTTTAGTCAACAGGAAATTGAATTCCCTTTGAAAATCTAAACAGGTTACCACTGCTTCCCCAGACAAAGAGTTCATTAATATGTAAATACTTGTCTGCAGCACAGATAACAGCATTTTCTTTGAGATCTTTTGAT